CACCTTTCCTCCACAAGCAACACAGTTGTGAACCTGTTAAAATCAAAATAGACATAGTTGAAGATTAAACCAGAAAATGATTGCATTGCATGTCTATTTCTAGGGAATGAAACATCAGATAATACGTGAATTGTACATAATGCAAATTGTTTTTCATGTACATTTGAAGTAGTATTTACAACACAGTTAAATACAGTTTCCTCATCCAGGCAATTTTTAACTTCCTCTTTTCTGATTCCATAGGAAGAGTGAGACATGCAAATTTGATTTACAGTGATCTTAATTTAATTACTTGAATTATGTGCCCAAATCAAGGTTCCTATCACCAGAAAAAGAAGTTGCCGAGACAGGATCAAGAATAACAATCTTTTTCAATTATGTTAAAGAAAAAAGTTTCAAAACAAATAACCATTAGATTCATCATTCAATAAACCATCTTCATTGACAGAAAAAAATCTACAGCAGTAGAAATTGCATGCATGAACAAGGGTTGCCACATTCCACCACTGCCTCTTGTAAAAAGTGGTCAACAATTTTTCCAAAATCTGTGGCAACCAAGACAAGTTTTTTTCTCCCAGACTCTGCAGAGTTGAAACCAAAAATATTATTCCCGTAGGAGGAGCTGAATCAGTATTGTAGGTGAAAATAAAAAATATTTAGAGGTGAAAGTTAATAGCTGAAGTATAAATTGTCAAAACTGAAACACTGAACTTCTGCGAGCATAATTCTATACTAGTAGCATGTCAATAAGGAACAGACATACATAATAGTAGAAATCTCACTGAATGTCAATGGTGAAACAAAGAAACACAATTTAAGAAAGAATGAAACTGCAGCATACAGGAAATTCAAGTGACAAATAGAATTACAAAGTGGAGGGTCATACAGCTTTTAGAAACTCCCGCTCCCGAACATACTTTGATTCCCGGAGTGTTGTTGCATAAGTTGACCTGCAAGAACTTTAGCCCATAAGGCACTAGCTAATAAATTTTATTAACCTTTGTCAGATTCAGAAAATAACTCGTTTTCACCAAGAGAATGCACATCCTTACACCAGCTTGAACATCTCAAATTGTTAATAGAAGTGCTATTCAAGTATTGACAAACAACAAAAGTCACTAAAAGTAATGAGGCAAAATCATAGAAAGAAAATCATTAGCGTAAGTTTGAATAACAGGGTCAGTGATCATCCTAGTATATAACAAATCTGTTACCCATAGAGTCAGCTTAAAGAACTCAAAGCTCTATGCAAATTTATGTGATTAATACTCATCAACTAGTCAAATTAAGGAACTCAAAACAAGAGTAAATTCTTCCGTCTAAATGTCAAATGCAATCCAACTAAAAACCTATGAATTAACAATCTCTTATAAATATCTCTTATAAATATTGAAACTGTAGGGAAATTACTCCATTGTGCATTTTTCGTAAATTAACATCTCCAATGTTTAAAAGATGAAAGTGGTCTTTGAAAATCTAATGACATGCATGCAACCATACTCCCAAGTCTTGAAAAATTCAATTGCATACGTACCATGATATTGGTCCCACAGTCCAAGTGATTAACAGCAAGAATATGTTTATACAGTTTCCTATAAATTCCATTTAACATAGGTAACATATTTTTCCTCAGTCAAAATCTTCTAAAATACCATTAGGAACTGTTCTCTCCATCTTGTATTCCAGTTCAAGATTTCACCTCCTGATGCAGGATGAAACAGATGCAAGTAATTTCTACCATCTTGAACGTCCAACCTGGCCTCTATGAGTAAAGCTAGTAAGTCATATTCACTATCGTTTCAATTCTTAAAATTATGCAGAAAAAAGTCCAAAAACGAAAACATGAAATTTTAGGTCCATTGACTTAATGACATAATGATAGTACTTGCATTAAGTGTAACAAAGAATGAACCATTTTACTCCATTTATTCTAAGATAAAATCAAAAATCTATTTATCTTTGGTTCTCCTAGAATTTGTTGTTCCCTTTTCTACCATTTATTGGTTGTATGTATCAAATTTGCATGAAAGCGTAAAATCACAAGAAACACTTCCACTTTTGAAGTGGTCGTTCAGGATAAAGACACCTCGGAAGGGAAACTGACACAAAAAAAATGGGTCTAAGGGAGTAAATTTTCTGCCTCTCACAATCAGATATTAAAACAGCAGACTGTACTTCCATTGACACTCTTGAACCCGACCTAAGAACAAATAATGTGTAAATACATTTAAAGAGAAATTATTAATGAATATCTCTAACATGATGAATTATGTATATGCACACATAAGAAAGAATGGCTCCCTTACTCTGTTATGACAAGGTCCAAATGCAGTCGATCAATTTGAGCAGCTCCAAGATGTCTATCTGCTGTCATATTATAATCCCCAGTGTACACCATGGCAGCATCTCCAACCTTTGCATAGAACATTGCAGCTCCAAGAACCTAGAGCATCTAGACTATTATACAAACAATTTACTGTAGCAAACGCCAAAGCATCAAAAATAATTCTACACTGACTATTGAGCAGTCATAATCACTATGCAAGAAAGACAATCTACTAAATTTAGAAATATACATGCATCCATGTACCAAAATAGTGAAACAATCATTTTGCATTCTATTAGTTAAGAAAATTCATGACAGCTGGAAATACAATAAAATTGATATAAGCATTAACAAGCACACTTAGAAAAGAAAAAAAATGAGAACAGACTTAGAACCATGAAAGACAAAGCAAAATTTGTAAAAAAATACAGGCATTTTTGAATGGGATTAGAAAGTTGTATAACAGAAATAAAAACTACATAAAGTGTTGTATACAAGCCAAGAATAATGAGAACCTTACATGTCCTGCATAATATGCACGAATCTGAAGGTCCTTATCAACTTGCACAGTCTGCTTCAAATCGACGGCAGTTACTGCAGAAGGCAACAAGAAACTAATCATTTTTCATGCGTTTGCATTTGCACAAGACCTCCTTGTTTAGCTTTGACAATTAGCAAATGCATTTGAAAAATTGGCTGGACTACAGTTACAGGACCTCTAACTATCCACAAAAATTAGAGAACAAAACCATTATTGAAGGACTGATGGAGTGGAAGAGGAAAGCTGAATACTTTTCAATCAAGTATTGTAGCTGACAACAATCACAAGTTCTCTTAGCAATCAATCTCTCAAATGTCACACATGAAGTTTACCAACAAGGATTGGGTCAAGAAGACAGAACCACATGCACAATAACGACTACCAGAAAGAAAATGTACTTTTATTGGCACTCTGTAGACACATAAGAATGTTGCTGCTTCCACTTATTAACCACTTCCAATGACCGTATGAATTAAAAGCATACAAGATAAGAAGAATCGCAAGAAAAGAGGAAGACATCCACCTCTCTTCATGCACTCCACAATATCCTTGGAGCTAAACTGTTCTTCCTCTCCCCTTCTGTCAACCATCACTTTACGATAGTCCTCCAGCATCAGCGGAGCCAAAGCTTTTGTAGGATACTGAAAATTATCCCAAGAAATCTAAAATTCCAGACTTGATATCCAATGTCACAAATATCGACGTAATAACATTCCTCGCATCAACATGGTTCTAAAAAAAACCCCTGGTTCATTAACTTTAAAAAGAACCACATAACCAGTAAACTCTTTTCTTGTTTTACACAAAGTTTGAACTCTAATAATTACTTCATTGGTTTCAATAAGGATTCCCAAAACGAATGAGAAAATTACCGTCATGTAAATGGGTCCCTTATATCCACATACTTCAGTGAAATAAGGAAGTGCACCAATATGATCCAAGTGGCTGCATAACCCAAATTCAGTTATTCACTAACCAGCAACTCACACACAAAAACCCAGGACTAATCAAGTAAATCATACAAATGTGTGATAATGATGCAACTGAGGGAGCTAGTAAAATCTTCAGCAGCATTGCGAGGGATCAGTGAGAAGTCAGGATATCGACGATCATCCAGATATCCCATATGCATCCCACAATCAAACATTATTCTCTTGCCGTTTATAGTCACCACCACGCAGCTTTTTCCCACCTCTTGCCCTGCCCCTGATCATCATCACAAAAACCAAATTCAGACTATATAAACCCACAAAACTTCATAACATCAACAACCATTAAGGATCACTTTTTTCCTCATTGGCATTTTATCAAACGAGTTCTGTACAAATCTATAACAGCGCCTGGAACCATTATACTAACGGTCATTCACATGACTGCAGGTTGAGTCAGAAAAGTACCTAAAACGAGGCATTCAATCGCCATTCTACGGCGGTTTATTCTTGCTCTTGCAACACCAGCAGAGTTCTGCAAAACTTAGAAGCAAAAGGCCAAAACCAACTGAAGTTCTACTTAACCACCTATTGGAAAACCAGAATGAATTTGAAACAGCTAAAATTCATGAGCCATACTGCCATGCACCCAATCACAAAACCAAGCAAAAGAAATTGTAGGCGAATTGGTTTTAGATTTGTGATTCTAGTACTTTGCATCAACGTATTCTGTTCCACTTTATATTGATCATGCAACTGTTTTAGATTGTGATTCGAATATCTTAAATTTAAAAGTATTTTCTCTATTTAATATATAGCAGGTGAAAACTAAACTTTTATTGTCCTAATCTATTAATATAATTGGAAAAGTTACGAGTAATCTAATTGATTTTTATTTTAGTGTAGTAGTATTTTAATTAAAGTCAATTTCCCGCTTCAAAATTGCTCTTCTCCACTTGTGAAAATATCTCCAAAATTGCTCTTTAACATTGAAAAATAAGCTCATAGCTCATAATATTAATTATACTGGATAACTACGCACTCACCACATAGGAGTTCTAATTAAAACCAATATAATTGGAAAATTTTACAAGTTGACTATTGTTTTATGCAGTAATATACTAGTACTTTTTAGTGAAAATTAATTTTCCACTTAGAATAATTATTGATCGAAAAAAGTCTACAAGTCAGACAAACTGTTCTAAGTTGCAATTTAATTGTTTTAAATTGAAGTTCTTTCCCATAATCAAGTCGCCAAAAAATGGCCATATATTTTCATTCATGGTAAGGAAGGATTTCTACTAGTCTAATGTACAGAAACAATCCACTAGTACTCCAATTGCTTTGGATGCGGTTCTAGTATTTGCAACCCACTGATTTACACTTTCTCTCGTCTTAAATGAGCAGCAAACATGCTTCAAGCAAGCAAGCACCGTCAAAACAGAGTCTCAAGCATTACAGGCTTTGTAGTTGGTTCAGCACAACATTTGGCTCAAGATTATACCTTTCTTGACAGAATTCCAATCAACTGCTATCTGCAATCATGTAACATGTACTTCTGATTGCATTCATCATCTGAGAGCAGTCCTCTGATTCTCATCTCATCAATTAAACATGAAATAGCAGGTTGATTGCCCTCCGTAACATATCCTCTAATTAATATATCATAAACTACATGATTAGGACTTATTCCCTTTTTCAACATGTCATCAAACACTTGTTTTGCTTCAATCATGAATCCTTTGTTGGTTAATCCAAAAATCAAGGAACTGTATGCAAACAAATTAGGCGGAATACCCTCTTTAACCATCTGTTTCTGAAGCCTGAATGCTTCTACAAGGTTTCCTTGCTTGCAAAGCCCTGCAATCCAAGTAGTGTAAAAATACTTATTAGGAACAAATCCAGCGTCGGTCATTTCTCTATAGACCATCTCAACTTGGCTCAATTCCCCCTCTTTGCACATGCCATGAATTAGGACATTGTATGAAATTTCATCAGCATTTTCTTTGCTAAAATGCAGTTTTGCTTCGTCAAGAAGCCCATTCTTGCAGAGGCCATCTATTAAGGATGTAAGAGTAACAACATCGGGTTGAAAACCTCGAGCCAGCGATTCCTCGTATTCATTCATTGCTGCTTCCACATTTCCAGCCTTGAAATAAGCATGCATAAGAGTAGCAAATATGACACCATCAGGTGCCACTCCGTAATCCATCATAGCTTTTTTAACTTCAACTGCACTATCCAGCCTATTCATATTGCATAGCCCAGATACAATAGCCCCATAAGCAGTGACATCATGCCTAATACCCTGATCATGCATTCTGCTCAAGTACTTCAGAGCATTATCTACATTCTTTTTCTTGAATTCCCCATCAATCATACTAGTATATACAACAATATTAGGTTCAACCCCATCTTCCAACATCCTCGAAAACAAATAAGCAGCCTTTTCCAGCATCCCCCGTTTACAAAAACCATCAATTAGAGCTGAATAAGTAACCACATTTGGAAAAACTGAATTCCTGCGCATATCCAAGTATAATCCCAATGCAACTTCCAATTCACCATCCTTACAATATCCCATCAATCAAAGAAGTAAAGATTTGTAAATTTGGGAAAACCCCACTACTCTTCATATCCTTAGACACCCTATAGGCCATATTAACGTTATTCATTTTACAATACATGTCAACAAGTATACCATAAGTTACAACATTTGGTACACAAACTTTCCACATCAAACTCATATACGCAAGCAACTCTTCAACCGTTCCAACCTTACAAAACCCATTAAACGTTGCGTTAAAAGTGTAACCAAATCAGGCCTAACATTCATCAGCCCACTACAAACTTTCCTCATCATAAAATAAGCATCACCAACATCAGCATTTCTCAAGTACCCATCAATCAGAGAATTGTAACTAACTATATCAGGCAAACAACCAAGTTTTGGCATCAAATTTATCAACTTTTGAGCAGAACCAGGAAATCCCAGATTGCAGAAGTATGAAATGACAGAGTTAAAGGCTGAGACATGAGGAAAGTAGCCTTTTGAAATAAAGGTGACGAGGAGTTTCAATGAGAGGTCGCCGCAGTTGGACCGTGTGAGGCTGTGGAGAGACTTGTTGAAGTCATGGCGGTCCGGAAACTTTCTTGAGGCTTTGAATCTTTGAAGACTATAAGCGAAGAATCTCAAAGCCTCTTTAGTCATGAAAATAAGATAAAGTTTCGGAATTTCGTCGAACATGTTGTGAGCATTATCTGCACCGTTCATTCGGTGGACCGCAGAGGAAAGGCCCTTCCGCGCTCTTTTTATAAGCTTACGGCAATTAAAGCTGCGTTTAATATGCCAATACTATTGCCCTTGAAGACGAGAATCAAACAGCATTATATCAATCACGCCCTCAGGTGGCCCCACCCCAACCATGTAGAGCAAGTTTAGTGACTGAAGAGTCTACATCAATCAGGCCTTCAGTTTCCAATCAGTTAACCTGCCTCCCAAACAACCCAAAAATCATGACTGGAGCAGCCCATTTCGGTGATGATCTAAAATTAAAAAAACAATTAGAAAAAGAAACAAAAATAGACAGTTTCTTTAAGGTATTGCTTCCAGGATTGCCCTATTCAGTTTGAATCTTGATTTAGCAGATACTGTAACATCATCCGTAACTCTCTGAAGATTAAATAAAACGATAAAAACTGACGGAATAGCGGGACAAAGAAATGGAACGAAATTTCTAATAAACATGTTCGACATTCAAGAGAAATACAGAAAGCTTTATATGCCACAACATGGATTTGTTCACATATCTGCAAGACAAAACACGGCAAAACAAAGCCGCAACATAAAACAGAAGAATAAAAAGTCATTACGCTTCCACTTAGACATAAAACAGAGATGACTGTAAACATAAAATTTTACCCTGTTCTTGTCCATATCTATATGTGCCATGCCAAAGCCTTAAAAAAAGATAATATTTGAAAAAAAAAACTAGGAAAATTCCCCCTCCTATATAATCTACAATGGAGAGTTCATTTAAATGCAGTGAGGATGGGAACTTCTCTTCTTCTCTTTTGCAAGCAAATGAGATGTGCTCAGGGTAGGAAGTACTTGTTTCTCTTTTGCACAAAACCTAAACACTCGTGACACCTCTTAACTGAAATCCAGCTTTCCTTGTAAACTATGGCGACTACAGAGTCGTCATACTCACCATACCCATCAAACGTTCGGAATTTATGGCCTGCTGCAAGTGAAATCAAAGTCAAAATCAACTGTCCTCCAACACACCTCTGCAGAAGGAGTTCATCCTTCCAAAAGCACAGACAGAACACGTTGTCAAATCCAGGTCCGATTGAATACATTTTTGTCCAAGTCTCCTTAACACCATACTCTTTCATCACCCATACATCAATACGATCTTCCAGTCCAACATACCGACGATAGATTAGTGCAAGGGATTCTCTCAGAACACCAAGACGAGGAGGACGAATGTTTTCGCCCCTGAAAGAATCAGGCAGCGCAATCTCTTTGACTACTTCAGTGCTCATGTCGAACGAAAAGAGCACTACCCTTCTCCTCCTCCTTGCTACTCTAGGACTTGTAGGATCGAATTCGACCGTGCATGCACTCCAGTGCATGCATCCATTGAAGTATACAGGGAAAATTCGCTCGTCTAGCACACAAGTTGGAAATTGGGCGACTATCTCTCTCCATGAGTCGCTATTCAGGCTGTACACGTTCGCCATCTGTGCAGTTTGATTCTCACCCAATATAACAACTTTGTAATCATTGGCGTTAGAATCATAACCAAGTCCAAGGTAACATCCAATGAACGACGACCTTGGCAGGGGAGGAAGAATCCTGACTTCCTGAAGTGCTGGATTTAGCAAGTACATGCCGTTATCATCTTCTAGGAAAATTAGACCGTTGCAATCACAGATAAGCATAACAGTGTCACCAAAAAAATTAGCGTGACGTGAGAATGGCATGTGCTGCAGATCAGGCTTGGTGGCATCACGAACCGGTTCCAGATTGGAATGGATATAGTAAGAAGCAGAGCGATTGGTATTCTTCAGGGGCGGTCGCTTGAGAAGAAGAGCATAGTTTTTAGCACGGCTAAGATAAATAGCTTTGAATTGAGGGCTGTCGATCAAAGCACACCATGATTTACAGACGGATTTCAATTGCAGGAGCGATTTCACCGGCAAGTGCAGTAGAATATCTAACCACATTTCACCAGGTAAATCCATCGTGCTTGATGAACAGACTGGATAATCTAAAAAAAGACAGACGTAAGAATCAGCTAAAGGAGAGGAAACAAAACAGAAATAAATGGTGGCCAATGCCTGGCCGGGTGTAAGCTTTTGTAGAAAACTCCAATCCACAGATGGAGCAAATCCAATGACGAAAAGGAAACTCAAAACCAGGTAGGATCTGGAAATTTTCCCTTTTTTTTTTTGGTAGGTGTAGGCCAAATTTTATTTTTATTTTTATGTATTTATTTTGCAGAAGGATCGGGAATCAATTGAAAGCAAAGCAAGCAAGCAAACATACAAATCCAAATCCAAATTTATACCGTTTCTGGAAATAAAAAAAAACTATCAAACAAAACTACAAAGATTGAACTCAAATTTATGGTTCGAGGCAGGGATACCCACACAAACCAAGATTTGCACAGACACAGTTACATCCTCTAAAACGTTTTGGTTAGATACCTTTTAACACATCAATTGAAGTGAGTAGATAGTAGATCAACTAGAATTTGTACCCAAGAGAGTAGATCAACCAGGATTTGTACCCCAAAGATTGCAACTATGGAAGCAGATCAGGAAGGATAAAATTACCCCATAAATAAATCGAAAATCCGAAATTTAGAACCGATGCATGGGTAGAGTGTGGTTGCTGCAAGGATGTCTTGGCTAAAATTTCGTTCAAGCGGGGCTTCGATTCGCCGTCTGTTTGATGGCACCAAAAGTTGCAGCTTTTTGTTTCTCTCTTCAACAGTCTTCCTTCCGCACAGCGCTGTCCTCATCTCTTCGCTAGTTTGGATGGGCCCAAAAGTAAATGGTCAGAGTAATCCTCAAGCTGGCAATGGAATCAAAGAGATGGACCCCACGCACTGGTTTTCAGGTATTCATAGATTAACTCCAATCCACAGACAATAACAAGTTCGAGCCCAAAAACAAAAAGGAACTCGAAACCCATATGGAATCCATCCACTGCAAATTACGGAAAAAATCAAATTTGAAACCTATTTGGAAATGTCAAAGCGAAAATTGGCCAATCTTGTAATTCAACTTCTTTTTTTTTCTTTGAAAAAAAATCCACCCTCAACTTTTATTTTGACAAATTTAGTCCTAAACTCAAATTTTATGATTGGCGCCATCAATTATATCAATTCCCCTGCCAAAAAAAAAAAAAAAATCACCAACTAAGGGCAATTTTGTGACTACTTCCAGCCCTATTTTAAAACAAAGGAAAAAAAAAAAAGTTCTGTTAGAAAGGCTAGAGAACAAAATGTTTCATTCACTTTTTTTAAAAATTTTATTAAAAAAAAAGAAAGCACTTTTTGTGATGCTAGTGATTTTGTCCCAAAAATGTTTTGATTGGCACTGCAACCGTAAAAGAATAAAATATGATACAATAATAAAAGCTATAATTTCAAAAACTTTCCCTGAGGATGGAGGTTTGTCATCATATCATTCAACGTCTCTTAAATTTTTAAAATCTCACTTACCTCCTTTGTCAATTTTACAAGACTAAATATTTCTATTAAAGTTCATAAATTGACAATATCACCCTTGCTCTTAATAACTATTTAACCAAAAAGTCAAAACAAAATAAAATTTTAAAAGCAAAAAATGTAAATTAAAAAACAAATTGCTAACTGATATTGGTCCATATTTCTTTATATTGGGCTCATGGTGGGATAGCAAAGGACGTAAATAAATTAAATCTAATCAAGATCAATCACTTAGGACGATTTTGGAGAGTAATTAACACCTTAAAAAAATTTCATGCAACAATTAATTTTAGGAAGTCAATATATTTTTGGAGAAATATGTTTTAATTCATGGTGTAGTTTAAGTTGTAATGAAAACTCAAATAATCTTTTCATGTGTGTGAATTTTTCTTTTGTTCCAATACAGCTAAAATAAATAATTTATGTTAAGAAATTTATACCTTATAAAAATTTAACTTTATATTATTTTTTATTTTGTTATAAATTCCATAAGTAAAATAACATAAGGGTAGTATTGGAACAAAAGTTTTATATTTCTTGTATTTCCTCCAAAGGGGTTAAAATATTACAAGAATGTTAATCCAAAGTAAGTGGGATTTTAAAAACCTCAGATTAGCTGAGTGATATTATGAAAAACTTGGGGGAGGTTTCTAAAATTATCACATATTAAAATTAAGGACTAATTTGGCCAAAATAAAAGTTGAGAGTCAAAATTAGGTTTAACAGAAAAGTTGAAGGACAAACTTGGAAATTTGATATATTTTGTTCATATTTGCAGTTGAATTGCAGTGACATATACTTTGTTCTTGAAGTTTGATAGAATTTTAGCATGGCTATTGTGTTACACTGAAACTTTTTGCTTGTTTACAACATAACGAAATCCTTATATAGTTCCAATTACGAATCTACGAGGTAAACAATTTGCATATATAAAGTTTATTACTGGGAGGGACAAGAGTCCACTACAGTTACAAAATTTATTCATGAGAAGTTTAGTGTAGGTTACGTTCAGGAAAGGAAGTACATGTCATGTATGGAATAACCCATACCTATACTGTAACTTGTTGAGATAAAATAGAGATTTTTTTGTTCTATATCCATTGGCATAATTCGTTTTACTGATCTAAAAAGATGGTAAATTGGGAAGAAAAATAGAATTTCAACAAGAAGAAAGTTTTAAAAAAATTCTTTATAGGCGTGCGGGTAGCCAGACGCCTCGGGAGCCCTGCAAGCCTCCTATAGGTGACCTTACACCAGACTAACTGACTGCTTTCGAGCCAACGGACGCGGGGCTGGAGCGGTTGTCAGAACAATCGCTCCGGAAGGTATAACATCATTTGTACATGATGTAACATCATCTGAACAAGGTGTAACAATAGAACAACAGCGAGTAACATTAGAACAATATTTTTGTGGGTCCCACACGGAGTGAAAATCGAGTTACAAGACGTGATCTGAGCCGCACAAATTTTTGAGACCTCATCCAAGTCGTGAACTGCTTGGGACGGTTGTCAGAGACAACCGTCCAGGCCCCCTCGTCCCCAGCGAACCTATTATCCCTCTTGAGTAGGGGTGGGGCAAAATTATCCGCTGATCCGAAAATCCACACATATCCGATCCGACCTAATGCAAAAATTAGGATACCTGATTTATATTATTTGATTAGGTCAAAAGGGAATCGAGTATCCGCTAAAATGCGGGGCAGATTAGGGTCACGTAATTAAAAAAATTCGTAGGTACCCGACCTGCCCTGCATATATATAATTTTTATTTTTTTATATACATACTATAAAATAATAATTTATGGCTAAATATGTAATTTCATTGAACAAATTGCATTATAAATATGAGATACTATAGTTTATTTACAAGATTCATTTGTAGAGATCATGATATTATATTTTGTAGAAAAGAGTTTAATTAATATGGAACATATATTTACAAACATGTGCTACTTATTTCAAATTTTTATTGATTTTGAATTCTTTTAATTTTTTCGTTTATTTTGTATTCTCTTCATATACTTGGTTCTTAGTGGGAGACATATTTTGAAAAAAAATATTTATTAAATTTTAGATGAATGTGTAAAAAATATAAAATTAAATTAGTATAAATTATTTTTAAAAAAAAATTAAATGATAAGTGGGATGGAACGAGTACCCGTTGACCCCACTCTATCTCAACGCGTACCCGCTGATATGCGGGGCAGGTAAGAGTCAAAAAATAACTTACCCGCATAGTGTGAGTCAAGTTAGCAAAATGGTGGATTGGGCGAGTACTCGACTTGCGCCCGCCCCTACTCTCGAGACTATTAAGCATTCTAGCTATATGAGTTATTCTTAAATAGACTTTTTGAAGTATTAGTGTTCTATTTACGAGTCATTATAGTTGTACTGAATCTATTGTCATTCTCGAAGCTTGGGATTTATTTATTTATTACTTATTTTTTGGCTTGGAGTTTGGAATCTGTTGATATCCAAACGTTCACGTGACCACATACAAGGACCACTTGAAATGAAGCAATGATAACTGGATTTCAACCCCGTGAAAAGTAATCTATGGACGAGAGATTAGAGAATTGACCCTTTAATTTGTTCTCTAATTCGTAAAAAAAAGTATGCACATTAGTGTTTATCCAAATAAGACGCTGCTTCCATTGCTCATGTGGGATCAGGAGCCAGAACGGCTGCAAAGCAACCCTTCCTGAAGGTTATGTGCATTTTGCACACAACGTAACTCTGTTTATACATAGTATAATTTACTTTCAATAACGTATAATTTTAGAACAAAATTTGGTGAGTCCCACACATGTTGTTAAGAACGAGGTACAAGATAAAATTTGGATCGTATAATTTTTTTGACAAAATCTTGACCGTGAACTGTTGGGTATGGTTGCTTCCTACCCCTCTTCCGCTGATGTGGTGTGACCTACAATTTATAAATTGGAGTTCAGTTGGGCCCGACAATGAGAAAATTTGAGCATACAACAATGCTACAACAAAGCGAAGCAGAGCCAATACCATCCTGATTGATGTCATAATACACTATCTCAATGCGTTACCTGGGAATGTTAATCATGTTGCCTTCGGTTGGCTGTAAAAGTTTGGGATAAGACTTGATTATTCAGATACCTTTGTATTGCATTATTGTGTGGAGATAATGTCATACTGAATTATGAAAAAAAGAAGAGTAATTAAAAAAAAAAAAGGAACAGAGATTGGAATTTTTAGACGCATTTCAAAGTATGGGTAACTAAAATTTTCGAGTGTCCCAATTATCTTTTCTTTGATTCTGTGTAATCACAGATAAATGTTTCGTATTTTTCTGAAATCTTGATTTTTTTTTCCCCAGCTCATTTGTCTTCCATACTAGTATTTTTTTTTATATATAATAAAACTCCCTCTTTTTTTTTTAATGTTTTTCTTCAAATATTGGATTTTATGATTAAAAAAACAGTTCTTTCGTCCCCTACTATTTTGGATGATTAAAAGAGTTTACCTGTGGTTCCTTTTCCATTACCATACTAGTATTTTCTTGAACCATCACCAGGCATGATTAAATTTGGGTTTTACATTCCTGCAACACCTTATTCACAGCGGTTGGTGGAGGAACAAAAACTGCAAGTGCTTGTACCATCCGAACTTGGTGACAAATTCCATGCTCTCTAGAAAGATTCTAATTCCAAGGGTGGTGCCAAAAAAAATCCAAAAGTGATGCCATAGCACCCCTTGTCTTGTCTAGTCAAGTTTGCATATCTGCTAGCCCTGATACACAAGCCTCTTTAGGCTCCCTCACCCTGTAGATTAGGATAAAATAGGTTATACAATTACTGTCGTTGTCGAAAAAAAAAAGAAGAAAGATTTTAATTCCAATGGAGAAGAACTCAGGGGCATCATTGCCAACATCAATATGTTAGCAAAGTTGAAAACTTTGGCTTATACCTAACAGTCATTATGCAGTAATTCACCATGCATACCGATACCCTGAGTTACTTTTAAATCTGAAAATTTTGAAGGAATTTGTAGATAGAAGAAAAAGGGTCACGACAGAGATTAATTTTTCAGATGAGTAATATACCCTAAAAAAAAAAAAAGCAGAAAGAATTCAAGTAGATTTCCTCGACCGTATATACATTTTTAAAGAAAATCAATGCAGAAGATAGGGTAAAAGAACAAATTATAAACTACCGTAAAAGAGACGCTAGATTAAAGGCAATGAGGTGCCGAAAGTTACCCGACCATCCAAAGTTCTTACGTGCAAAACTGGAAACCCAAGTCCACAGATATTCTCATCAAATATGCCCACCATATTGAGGCCGCAGAAACACAAAAATTACACAAGTCGATATGGAGTATCCGTAGAGTGGAGCATTATTGACTCGTAACAGCAGTTATACCATTTTTTTGTGCTGTTAAGACATACAAATCTGTTAAACTGCGTAACAGCATGTTCTTATGTGATGGTTGTGGGGGCAGATCTGCCAGTGAATGCTTCCATCTTAGAGAGCTTAATAGCAACTTCAACCTGAGGCGACAAAAACCAGTTTCAGAGACGAGGATCCTGAAATAGATTCATGTTAAATAGGTATGAAAACATGCGCTGCAGTATCTCACCAAAGGAGCAAGTGCTTCTTGAGAATCTCTGCCAGTTTTTGAAGAATACTTCTCATATTGCTCAATATAAACACGAATAGTAGCAACCTCTGATCCAGTTCCAGAAAGACAGAAAACCTGATGCAAGAGGAAGGTGCGGTGAAGAGAGAAAGACTGATACATCGACCATATGAAATAGTCAACAAGGCTCATATCCTGATTAATCGTTCCTTCTGTGTTCATTGTATTCTACTTGAAACATAATAAGAAATACTACCCCGTTGCAGTAAAGCATTTAATTATTAGGAACAAAATTAGACATTTTTTTAAGCTTCAAGGGCTAGGACTTTACCAATCGCGAACCATCTTCAAACAGATATCGGATACCCTGATGCTTAGAGATGGAACCATCCACTGGATCTTTATACTCAAAAAACTCATCAGCACGAACAACATTTGAAACGTCTGAATGTATCCCTTTTATTATTCTGCATTACATGGACAGGCAAGGTTTTCAGAAAAAAAAAAAGAAAAAGAAAAGCTAACTCAAACCAACACAAGCAATTGAATATCATCTGGTAGAAGTTCCCTCAACACTGACATTCAAGTTTCAAGCATTCATGCAAATCATCAGAATGCAAGGTATCAAACAAAAGTGCAGCTCAAGCACTTGTGCCATAGAAACAAATCATTTGGGCATGTATTTAACTGACAAGTCCCACATCTTTTCTCTTTTTGATTGAACATTAGACATGTATCGCAAGCCTGTGAAAAAGTCAGGCCAACCGGTAACATTCTTGGATTAGAGAACTTCATTTTTTTTTTGTCAAAAGATTAGAGAGCTTCATTTAAGTCATTAAAATTAGCATCCAACACTCATCCATTTTTGACAGTCTTCCTTTGATGAGAAATTCCTACAGGGTGACATAGGAGTAGTCATGAAAACAACTTTGTCCAACAATCTCATTTGCCTTCATCAAAGATAGGTGGAATTTCCTTAAAACCTGAGAACATATCCACTGGAAAGCTACAGAATCTTCAAATAAAACGCCAGAGAGGACTTACCTTTGTCTTTGGCATAACTGCAGAATATATGCATATAAACAAACTTTTTGACACAACCAGGGCAAGCAGAAAATACTGTAGAGCATTACCTTCTTACAACCTCACACAGAGCTATCTTTAGATTCCAATCACAGATAGCCCTAGTCAAACTCTTAAAAAACAGTTGATATAGAAGGATGACATATTTTCTCAACTAGAGAATATCTGCCTATCAACGGACTCTTTTACTTGATTTAGAAGACAGAGTTGAGAGAAATGTAGGTTGTTTACTTTATTCATACTATTTACTCATGCAAACGAGTATTTGAGTTTTGCATCTCATCCTCAGACAGGAAAGTAAACACGTGAACTCCTATGAACAACAAATGATGCCCGAGAAGAAATGGAGAAAACAGAGCAATTGGTTACTTAGATTAAACATGTTCAAATTCAGTAGCCATCCACCGTCACAGTAAAAGATATCTTATGTCAGAAAGTTGTTACACAAGACTGCAACCCACTTACATTAAGTCTAAAAAACTTGTCATTTTCCAAATTAGTGTTCTGAAAAGAAGCAGAACAAATGCAACTTAGAGAGAGAAAGAGAAAGAAGCACTACACATTCACTTCATTGAGGGATGATTGCAGCTTGACCAAATGGGCCATCAACTCCTTTGCACCACCTGCATCAACATTCTTTGAAGAAACGAAGACACATTGTTTTAGCCACAATATATTACCATTATGTTGTTCAACTTACTAAGTCAGAATCAACAAATACCATATATGCAGGTTGCAAGAAATGACGAATCAGCATTTCTACATACTGCATGTACCTCGTAATCATATCGAGTGTAATAGTGGCGGCCATAAACAGACCAATGATGAGAAACAATGTCTTCAATGGTCACAAGCCTCCCTCCACACAAGTTATCTTTGTTTTTGTCTGCCAGAATGGCTAGCCAAGCCAAAACGGCCCAAATTCCATCTCTTTCACGTATACAATCACAGCCTATTCGTGAATCAATTAAATAGCTAAAAATTAGAAATGGTTCTTTAGTTGTTTTATAGCTGATAACTCTATCAAAAATTCAATTCTAAGAATATGACCAAGAGCTTACACATCCCGCAACTCTCTTCACCCCATATTGAACATAGTCCAGCATCCATTAAATTTCCCCGGAACTCCAAGCCAACAGGAACCTTACATTTCAGGTGAACAGCAGGATCGAAGCAATATTAATACAAAAATTCATTGCCATGGAAGGCAAGCACACTCAAATCATAATCTCTCCCCTCCAACACCCCCCCAAAAAAAAAAGAAAAACACCTAACCTAACACCCCAGGCCAACACAAAACATGGAAAAATAAAAGAAGGGAATGCGCTAAGCACCTCAAACAAGGGAAGCTTGAGACGCTTAGCCACAACATCAAGAGCAGAAGATGTGGGCATACTCCTGCAACGAAATCTTAAACATGAGCAAAACTTTTTTTTATAAAAGATGTCACCTAAGGATGATGTATGGCTGTTTACATACATAGTGTGTTCTGTGTGTGAGTGTGGGCATGGGATGGGTGTGTGTGGGTGCGTACACCTGCATACTGACACCAAAAAGACGTGCATGCACCAGACAAAAACATCTATAACACAAAGTAGGATTCTGATAAATTCTTGCATGCATGCATATAAACAAAGATCCAACAATCAAGCAGGTCCAAGCAAAACCTGGCAACTCCTTTAAGACCACCAGAAAAGTAAGGGATGGCCTCAACAGCATTTGCAGCAATAACAGCAACAGCATCAGATGCGGTAACATAAAACCTGACACCAAAATAATAAGTCAAATGCAATTTTGAGCAACATTACAGTTGTTATGAGCATAAAGTTCAAAGCTACCTTTTGCCAAAAACCATGTTACAGCTAGCATCCCAATCAACAACAGCACCAAAGTCTGGTGGCTCACTGCCAGCGTTGGTCTTACCCAACCTCATTCGAGCAACTGATTCTGCATTGGTAAAATTATACCCTCCGATGAAGTCCTCCTGCCCAGATAAAAGTTGATGTACAAAGTATGAAATTCAATCAAAGGTTATACAACAAAATCAATGGCTGAACATTTCCACTTAATGCACACTACCAGGGAAAGAAGCTAAAGACCTTAAAAGCACAATTTCTCAGAGAGCTTTCTTCAGCACCAAGCTCTTCAACAAAGATACGTCTTGCAAGTGCTCCAGCCAACCCATTAAGTGCATCAAAACTGCATAGATGACTAGGCATTAAGAGAAGAAGACATTAAATTTATACATATGAAAATAAGATGACAAGCATACCAGAAAGTAAAGTTTGGTAATGAAATAAGCTTCCGAATTGGGCCAAAATCAAAGGTGGACCTGTGATATAGAAAAGCAGTACATAAATGTATTTCAAATGAAAAAAAATAAAATTGGAGGCTTCTACTAGTCTAAGAAAGATACATACTTCATCACTTCTACATAGTCACTGGCTAAATCTAAGACTTCAACCTCAAATTGTCCCCTTGAAAGAGGCAATCTTGTCAAACCTATTGTATTGAGATCCACCTAATTGAATTAGAGATCACGTTAGAATTCGAAATGAGAAGAAACTTGAGTCCAACGAAAACACAAAAGGTTTAAAGAGCACTTCATACATCTGGCAATCCTACTGCAAACCCATGCTCCACAATGGTTTTTGTCGCTTCATGGATCTTATGAGTAACAGATTCTGGAGCAAGTCCCCCATTTCCCATCATGTATTTAACTCCAAAATCCTGCAGTCGAAATGGTACACAAATAAAGATATGAACACGTTATCATTAAACTGTTTCAGAGATGCAGTACAACGATGTGCCTTCGCTAGTACTCTAACTACAACCCCCATAAAATAGACCCATCAGGAAACAAGGGAATTGTAAGAAAAAGATAGTAAAGTAAGGGCTTGATTCCCAGGTCATGTTGTCTACTTCTCAGGATCATGTTTGTTAGGCATTGATGTTCACCCAGGCAACAAATATCCTGGTAACCATGAAATGTTATACAAATGAGAACGATGGTTTAAAAAGATTTTCTTACCAACAGAAACAGAAAAATTTCACATGGAAGCTCGCAAAAAGTAGAAAAATTTCACATGAAAGTTGACCAAATCTCTGTTGAAACAGTTTTCCTAACAAAATCTGCTACATAATGCTGGTAAAAGTAAAGCAAAAAAGAACAACAGAAGTATAGTTAGACTTCTGGCGAAGTGCATTATTTAGCAAGGAAAACAGAGAATATGAATGCATCAATATATTATAGCAAAATCTAACCTCACAAGGGCTACCAGGGTTGTGGCTACCAGTCAATATGAATGCTCCAGAAGCCTTAGAACCCTATATTCAGTAGCAAAAAGATTAAGTCTCACATTGCAATAAAACACCATTTTTTCTGAAAAAAAAAATCAGAAAAAAGGTCATAAGAAAAGTATAAAGGAGATACTTACATCAATGCCAACTCTTTTACGTATAACAGCTGATACAGCAGGAGTAGACAACAAGCCGTTCTTACCAACCCAAATTTGTCTTACTCCATTTGCAGCTGCCATTTTAATAATGATCTGCACGTGATAAACCAAAGAATATAAATACACAACAGCCGTTTAATACAGTTCAAAAAAAAAAGAATGTATGCTACAAGTTGAGCATGGTTCGCACTTCAGCACAATCTACAGACAAACCAGAAAATGCCCATACTTTCCCATGCAAGAGCAAGTTATATTCTGCAATTTAAATTTGTTTGTTACTTATTCTATCATATAAATCCTAAGGCTTGTTTAATATTATAAGATTAACTTCAGAAAATTGACTAGAATACACCTCCAGTGGGAGACTCCTCTCATGACAACATCTAAATCAAAGTATAAGGAAACAAGACATGTTGAACATCAACATGTAACATCAGACATCTAGAATAATTCAAGGTTTGACAAACAAATAAAGGTTTTAGCCAATTCAAAACTAAACTACAATAAAAGAAGTAAAAAAAACTTAACATTTGCCAACTTAAAAGTATCAACATTGTTCACAATTTACCTGAATGGCATCTTTGGGGACAAAAGGACTGTCACCGGAAACCACAATTGTAGCCCCTTCTCCATTGATCGTGTTAAGCGTGGCTTGTATAAAGTTGTGAAGGTTACACCTTCGTAGGTATTTGTAGTTGGTCTTATCCGCACGGTTCACCAATTCGGTCACAGACTCAAGGCGGGGGATATAGGAAACAGCAGTGACATCTTGTGACTGGGTTCCGGCGGTTATATTGACCGCAGACATTTCCCCCTCAATCACTTTTTTGAGCGTTTCATAGCTTTGGTGACAAAGCAAAATCCCAGTGTCTTGCAAACGAAGCACTGGGACGGAAGGGAGAGGGGGGACACGGACTGCAAGGCCAAGGTCAAGGATTCGAGTTCTCTTCCAAGAACCTTCCACCCCGTAGTCAAGCATCTGCCAAATATCGATACTATCCTCCGAAACAACACAAATAGAAAGAAGATCATCCAGGACTGTTACACTCATTTCGGCGGATGCTAGTACCGGCGGTGGCGGTATGGGAAAAATCCGTTCCTCTGCAATATCAAAACAATATAAAAAATCCTCCCTGTTTGGCTGTGTGAGCCAATGCAAACGATTTCGGTACGACAACGGGCACATCTCGGCCCGATTCATTCGGCCATCAAAATATCGACGATATCTAGGAAAAGGGGGATTGGGTCCTTGAACTGAAACCCACCGATATTCTTCAAATCTAAAGACTTCCCCTCTGCACCCATCTCCTTCGCCATCGGTATCATAAAAAGAACACGACAATCGCAGGATTTTGAACTCCTTCGTTTTCTCAACCATTCCAAAACCAAAACCTTCCACCGATCCGTCATCCCCCATCATTGTCGACGGCGGTGGCGGCAGAGTGATGAATTCCCCAATAATTGGATTTGATACATGAAGAGTTGACAAATACCCGTGCTTTGGCATTCTTTTAATGAATAACGAATTGACACGAAAGCAGATATAGCCGTGGGAAGATCCCACGATGGTAGCCACATCCCCCGATTGGAAGGGCGTCCGGACAAGGGACGCAAGAAGAGGTGCCGTTGGATCCTCCTCCAATTGGAGGAGGGAGAAGCTTGGGACGGTAGCAGAGGAAACATACCTATGCGATACAATAACGGTGGTATATGGGGAAAACTTGAGATAAGATTCAAGAAAATTTCTTCTGGAGATTAATTGACGGAGGTATTTGTTGACACGTCCGAGGCTTGAAATTCCACACAATGGGAGGCGTGGGAAAATGCGGGTGACCAGAAGGTTTTCTGGCAAGTCAAGCAAGCAAGTTTCTTCCATTTCTGGAAGGGGGACGGGAGAATGACGAAAGCTTGAATACACGATGAAACCAAATAGATCTGACTAATACAGGAAAGACGAAATAGACTGACTGATGCAGGAAAGACGTCATCCCCAACTTTTCTATAAGAACCAGTTCTTACTGTAACTATTCCAGCTGACACATGGCCCATCCTTATTGTAAGAGCCAATTCTGACCGTAAGTATTCCAGCTGCTGCCACATGGCCCGATCTTTTTCTGCCATATCAAATTATTGGTTTTTACGGTAGCTACTGTAGCTACTCCAGCTGCTGCTACATTATTATTATTATTTTTTTTTTTTTTTTTTTGTCAACACAGGATTGTCCGGATCAAGACTCGAAGGCGGTCCGACTAATCTCCTGCGCCTGAAGTACCCCGCCCCCCAAGAGCACCAAGACGGTATGTGAGGCCAGACTCGAACCTGTGCTACCCCGAGGATTACCCCGAGGCTCACCAGCCGAGCTGACCCCGAGGGGCTCCAGCCAACCTGCTGCTACATGACTGATCTTTTTCTGCTACATCTAACTATTGGTTCTTAAGGCAGCAACTCGAGTGCTACATTATTGGGTATTTGATCGGTGCACTTTCTTTCGGTTGAGCTTGAGAATCTTTGTTCTTGGTTGTTTCTTCTTCCAATGTGATATCTGCCACGAGTGGTTAACTGGCGAACTAATTTTTTATCTTTGATTTCTCAATTTATTCCAATTCCAATATGCTAAGAGCCTATTGAAAAGTCATGGCATCATTCAGGATAAGTTCTATGTGAAGAATTGTTTAAATTCACAGCTTGTTTGTTTTGGATTTTTGTCAATCTGATGCTTTTAAATGATTTTTTCCCTTGGCTTTGTTGTCTAAGGTATAAGTTTTTGATATTGCAGGTCCAAAATTTGGAATTTTTCTTCGGTCCTTTCTGAGAACTACTCCAGATTTTAGCAGCAGTACCCAACACCGTATCCAGCCTACTTTGCGTAAAATTAATGAGTGGTTTGATTGTGTCTTCTTCTGTTCATGTGTATTTTATTACAGTTTGTATTCTAAATGCTATAGCCCTTTTCCTTTGTTCTTTGCAGAAGAGGTTACCTCGGACTTTACCATTTTTTCTTTCCTATTATTACAGGTTTTTTGCTTTCTTTTTCTTTTCGAAATTTCAATTGTTATTCCTTAAATTGTTCATTTGTGGTGACTAAGAGTAGAGTTTCAGTGAGCAGAGTGCTACTTGTTTTCCTGAAATTATGGAATTCAAACAAATTAATATTTTATGTACGGCATTTATGGTATGTAGTCATTGAGACAAATCGTATTTACTCATTAGTGATATTGGTATCTTCTTGATTTTGAATGTGAGTGAATATGGCCTAGTTTGATGGTTTCTTGACAATGAATACTGAATTTTCTCAGCTCCTTTTCAGTTGCCTGAGCTCCTACTTTGTTCCCTTTACGTTTCAGTTAGTTTTGAAACGATTAACCCTCTTCATTCTTGATCTGGCTTTCAGTTGTTAAACTATTGCGTGATCCTTTTTTCTTTCAACCTTTTTAATCATTCTTCCCCCATGATGGCTACTAAAGCACTTACGAGCATAGTTGTCAAAATCGCGATTCGGATCGTAGGATCGTATGATCCTACGATCCGGATAACCAAAATCGATCCGGATCGTATGCAGAGTCGCAAATCATATTAATTTTTGCAGGATCGCATAGAATCGTAGCAGGATCGTGTAGGATCGTGTAGAATCGTGTAGGATCGTAGGATCGGTAGGATCGTACGATCCTACAATTTTTTTATAAATTTGTGAAATACGAAGCTCCATTTTGCAAATAAATGAAAATATTTGTGGTATATTTGTAATTTATCAAAGAATTGCAACCTTTAATTGCAATTAAGAGCTTTTGGTAGGATCTTACGATTCTACGATCCGATCCTGTGAAACTAAAATCGATCCTACGTAGGATCCCGATTTTACAAACCTTGCTTACGAGTGAGGCAATTTTTCTCACAGGAAAGAAAATGGATATGACTTTAAGTTGTGCATGTTAGCAATTCTACCCGGCATTGTCATGTAGTTGTTTGATCAAATGTATACAAGGGATTCGAATGTTATTAACCTTCATATCTAATATGTAAAATTTAGTACTAGAAAATTGCAATTTATACTCCTTTATTTCCTCACTAAACAATTTATATCAGGTTAGACGAAAAATGTAGAATGGAACTTAATTGGCCAATGGAATGAGACGAATCTTAACATGAGAAAGAACACACATATAAGGCATGTTGATGATTGCAAATTGATAGAGCAACTTTGTATCTTCAACCAGATGTCACCAATGGTACCTTTAGTTTGGTAATATAACACTAGTGTATTTCCTAGCGTTTGTCTGGTTGTAAGACTTATTTTGGCTTTCTTGATTCTCATTGTAGGATCTTAGTAATTAACTCTACAACACAATTCTTTGGAAGTTGATGCTAAGGTTAATTTTGTTTATTCTTTCATTTACCAATCACCCAATAGCTTGAGACATTGGACCTTTCCCATCAGTCAATGCAAACATGGCAGGTCTGGGGTCTTCTGAGTTATTCACTTTTTCTTGTTTTATTTGACTTTATTCCATATTGGTGTAAAACTTTTCTGGTAGTGAAAATAGGTAAATTCTGCAGTGTATTCACATATTCCAAAGACAGGTGTGGAAAGTAAATTATATGGCAAAGAAGCTGGCACGTAGCAACCTGACATGTACGGAGATGAAGGGAATGTTTCTAAAAAAGTAATTGGTGACCTATAACCGCGGTTTAGAAATGTGAATGTAGCGTACTGCAGAAGTTGGAAATGTATGTGGGGTATGATGGAATTAACATAAATATAATTGGCCTATGAATAAAACACCGAAAAGGAAGCATAAGCAGTACTATCTATTTACGGGCATTACATCAACAAAATACTATCTATTTATGGACATTTTACACTGAATCATTACATTTATGTAAAATACATAAATATGTGTAACAAAAATTGAAGAACTGTTACACTAATATTTTTACGAAAGGAAAATTGGTTGTCCTGTATTTAACATAAACTGATTTTTATGAAAGTAAAAAATATATTACCCATAACATACCTATTCTTTATGATATTTTTTTTTTTGCATTACATCAACAAAACACTAGCTATTTACAGGTATTTTATTCTGAATCATTACATTTATGTAAAATACATAAATATTTATAACTAAAATTGAAAAAGTGTTACACTAATATTTTTACGAAAGGGAAACTAGTAAATTTTGTATTTAATAAATTTTAAATATGTGAAAGTAAAAAAGTTTTGCCCATAACATACCAACTCTTTATGAGTTTTTTGCATTACATCAACAAAATACTAACTATTTATGGGTATTTTATTCTGAATCATTACATTTATGTAAAATACATAAATATTTGTAAATAAAATTAAAAAGTATTATACTTATAGTTTTACTAAAGGAAAACTAGTAGATTTTGCATTTAACAAATTTTAAATATGTGAAAGTAAAAAAGATTGTGCCCATAACATACTAACTCTTTATGAATTTTTTTGCATTACATCAACAAAATACTAGATATTTATGGGCATTTTACTCTGAATCACTACATTTATGTAAAAAACATAAATGTTTGTAATTAAAATTGAAAAAGTGATACACTTATATTTTTACAAAAGAGAAATTGGTAAAATTTGTATTTAACATAAATTAAATATGTTAAAGCAATATTAAAGGTGATTTTATTAGTTACTTAATTTGTTGGTAAGAAACAAGGCTTCTTTTGCAAAATTTGTTCATTAGATTTTTCCAAATAATTAGGATATAAAGGTAAATTTTCACAATCTTTTGTTAGCAATAGACCCCAATTTCCTCCTAGGCAGTGATGAAACCAAGATTTTTTCCTTGGAGGGAGGGCCAAAATGATTGACAAATAAAATTATTTTAATATGTTATGTTCAAAATAATTTTCATCTATTTAAATATATGGCATCCTAAAATATCAAATATTAACTTTAATTATAAAGGTATGTCTATTTAATAAATATGTAGTATAGTCATAACTAAAATTAAGATAAGAAATAACATTTGATTAAATATCTTATAGAAAAAAAATGCACTTTTCATCCTCAAAGTTTGGGTGGTTGGCCAATTTTATCCTCAAAGTTTCACCCCAAACATATTGCATCCTCAAAGTTTTGTAATTTTGGCCAATTAAGGACAATTGACGAGAAATGAAAAATTGATAGTTAAAACCAACGATTTTACCCAACAAAAAATGAACAAAACCGAATGGAGCCATTTTTAAAGGAATAATTGCAACGGACAAAAAGCTCAATTCTTCTCCTTCTTCCCTCTGGCTTTCTGCAACTCCAAAATGTTTTTGCCAATTTCTGGAGTTTTAACGACCGTTATACAACTTTCAAAACAAATAAATTCATTCTAAATTTTTATTTGGGATTATTTCATAAACCAAATCGTGGTCACTTTCCGTAAAGTATCACTTTCCCATAAAAGACTAGCTCTTTATGGCTTTTCTCCATTATAAGAACAGAGTACTTATTTTTTTCATAATTAAATTTATTTATCGAATAAAATAAAAATAAATCCATTTTCTAATAAAAGACTAGCTCTTTATGGCTTTCCTCCATTATAAGAACAAAGTACCCATTTTCTCATAAATAAATTTATTTATCAGATAAAATAAAAATAAATTTATTTTTCAATAAAAGACCAACTTTTTATAACTTTTCTCCATTATAAGAATAGAGTACCCATTTTTTCATAAATAAATTTATTTATCGGATAAAATAAAAATAAACCCGTTTTTTAATAAAAGATCAGCTCTTTGTGACTTTCCTCCATTTTAAGAACAGAGTACCCAATTCTGATCCAAAGAAATCACCTACATTTCTTCTAGAAGAATCTTATGCCTACAGTTGCAGGGTGCTCGGATATGGATCATTTGGCCAAGAATTTTTAAGAATTAGTAGTGATAATGGAACCTGAAAATCACAATCATGAATTTCCGATGCCTTGTGAC